GTAAAATAAATTTTGCAGTTGCGTCTAGTTTTATTTTTACACTTGTAGATAATTTTCTCCGGTAGGAAGTCTAAATTGGTGTTGTTCCTCTGACGGCCGATCAATTGCAACTTCATGCATTCTGTGAGAATAGGCGATACCCATCGGTCATTTAGCGGAAGACATTGCCCAGGGTACACTACAGAGGGCGAGGATTTTACACACGTGAGAAGTTACGTCCCAATTTCGGTGGAGAACACCCTGAAGGACGGATCCGAGGGTCTTCCTGTTTCCTAACAGAAAGCCCACCAGTGTTTTAAAAGCTCCCATGCCGCACCAGACACTGTACATTTAAAAACATCCAAGCCTTATCCAGGTTTTGGGTCCAGGTCCATCAATATGACAGCCAGCAGCTCTAACCATATACCGATCAGAGCGGCGATCTGATATAATTTGTACAGTTCGTAGGAAAATATAAAATATTGCCTCGTGATTTAATAGCCCAATATACCAAAGACAAATCAGTCAACTCTGGATTATTTGGGCCCTGATTTGAAGAAAGAGGGGGAAAAAATCTGATGTGGACATCACATGACTTCTTTGTATGGCCTGTTAAAATGTACACATATTTTACTGCACTTCATTTGAACTTATTTCCTCGAATTTCGTTAGAGAGGTATTTCTCATTTAATCAATTCAGTTATCTTTTCGTGGCAAGACAAAAATACATAAAAACTCAAAACATTTTCATTAAAAATCGTAAAATACTGTTACGGATTTTGTATTTATTTAATTTGCTATTTTGAATAGAATTGTTATTAAAATTGTTTTATAATCCCGTGCAATGCAGCACGAGACTTATTCGAAGAGAAAGCTACGCCGGAAAAATTAAATACAGGAGCACGCGCATCTAACGTTTCAATAATAGATATCTTGTAATTGTACTCTTTTAATATCCAGAAAGATCGAGAAAATATGAGAATTTTCTCTTGCATGAATAAAAAGCTTATAAAAGCTGGAGGAAAACATCTCAATTCTGTAGTTTGTTTACTTACTGCTGGTTGTTGGCTGTAGCGAATTTGCGATGAAATCGGATTAGCTTTCTCTGTTTTGAATTAAGTTCTGTTGAGCGTTTTAATAGTTTAAAAGATAACTACTGTGAGCTATTGCGATAATGAATCGAATTTCTCTAAGGAAATTTAAACATTTTGTATTTATTCTTGCGATGAGAATAAATTTTATTCATTTTTCATCGGACTTTTGCATTCAATTTATTACGAACCTATACACACGTAACAATACTCCTCCCCCTCCCCCCAAAAAAAGTCAAACACAGTTAAAAGCATGTACGGATTTATATTTATTTTATCTAACAATTTAAAGTTCAAACTTTCCTATAAGCCTTCATTCCCCTAATTGTCAGTGCCAGAATAGTTAACTGTTGTAGCGCGCGTAAACGAATGCAAATTTTCTACTTTGAAGAAAGCAGTTAAAAGCCGACTTTCGGTACGAGAAAGAGAGAGTTTATTGCTTATTGCTGGTTCAACTGGCTTAAGTGCATTTATTTGCGGCCACTAGCTTCGAAGGGAGTTTAAGTTACGGTATCTCGCTGAGTCCTGTAGTCTAATTCTATCGTTTGTTAATATCTTCAAATTTTTAGTTTACTTACTTGATTTTCTGTTACCGCCCAAGCAGAGGCGAAGTTTGTTAGCGTCGAAATTTTCAAAGATTTAATAAAGGGTTCTTTAACCCTTCTCTTGTGTAGTTTCCTGCTACTCAAGTTTCAGACAGAAGTTCATCTATTAAACTCTACAAGCAGGTAAAAAACAGTTTTTACTATAAAAATTTCTATGAAGTTTTTTTCTATGAAAAAAAAAAAGGGGGAGTTCAGCCGCCAACGGGCATTGACACAAAGTTTTTGTTGCACAAAATTGAGAGTTAACTTTCGGTCCCATTGGGCAAAAAGAGTCGGTGCACCTACTGAATTCACTAATTCTACGAAGAATTTCAAATGGAAACAAATGGCGGCCACGTTAGGCCTATTGACATAATCTTTTAAACTGTTGGTAATCGCAAACTTGTTTTCGGTGGACACCCTCTTCGTTACAACTTGCATCAGAGACTTTACTGCGTAGTTGGAAAAATGACATTCGAAGACGGACGTAGCCGTAAATTTCACACATAATTTTGTACTTGGATAATTAATTTTGAGGACACATATTCTTTTTCATTTCACGTCATTATTCTGGAGGCGCTATACACCCCACAATTTTATACAGATTAGACAATTTAGAACAACGGACAAAAGCTGTCAGAGGCTGAGCGAGCGAAATAACATCTTGACTGCAAGAGAGCTGAAGCAGAAAGTGTGCAATTATCCAGTATGGAGGCTCACCAAGAGAAAGCTTTGGCTTAGGTTAGAAAGGTTTCAGTTCTTAAAATTTTGAGAACAAGTTCCGAATTAGCTACGTCATGAGCGTTACGCAAGCCAAGTAAGATGGATTGATCTAGGCATGACGCAGTCCAGAAAAAATATTAGGATTTTTAGAGTAGGGAGGGAGAATTAAGAACTATTGCTAATTTAAATTTAAATTTTGATTTATATATATATATATATATATATATATATAGGGTGTATCAATACAGTGGTGACAAACTCTCAGGAGAGACAGAGTACACCTAGACGATGGGACATCACATAGCAGTGCATGGTCGGAAACGCTTCCCTGTCGCAGCAGTGACGACACAAAAATCAAGAAATAAAGGACACGAATGGGGTGAGAAAACAGCAAAAACGAAGTAAAAACAGTGTAAAGAGACAACGATCGTCATCAAAGAAGGTATTTGAAATTACTACCCGGACCCATGGTGCAGGAACCGTGCGTCATGCATCTTCCATGCAATATATTCCATTTCTGATGCAGATCTTCTATGCGCTGGAGAAGTGAGGCCTGCATCACAGTCCAGGATCGTAATTTCGAACACCTTCTTTAATGATGATCGTTATTTGTTGGTTTCTGCTGTACTAAATATAATAAAACACTTATTGTCTCACTGTTTGTGTCCTTCCTTTTTTTGCGTTTTGTGTCGTCGCTACTGCGCCAGGAAAGCGTTTCCGACCATGCATTGCTATGTGATTTCCCGTCGTCTAGGTGTACTCTATTTCTCTTGAAAGTTTGTCACCGCTGTAATGATACACGATGTATATCCTACGGAATCGTCCTTATTTGTGCAACAATGAGGCAGTAGCGTCACTGTATTTGCATAACGCTGTCTATCCCTAATTCACTGCCAGTTTCGTTTTATAAAAAAGGGAATTATGACATCATGTCATAGCTTATCACTGGTAGGGTAATTTTATTCTTGATAATTCAATAAATCATGTTTATCAGCGATAATCTGTGATTTTCCTTTTGAGTTCTTTTCATAGTAGTGGCATAAGTGACCGTCCATATGCCTTCCACGCATTGATATCAGGTAAAGAAAGGAAAAACGCATTCATCATATCTATGTCCTTAATTATGGAAGCAATTTGAAACGAATCGCTCATTTCTCGATCATCGTTTTCGAAGTCAGTTAATTATCCTCGGCATATAATCCAGTCATTTCCCCTCAATTTTTCCCTGGAAAAAAGAAAATATTATCCCCATTGTTTATCACTCGATCGCGTCTAGTAATTAAGTTCGAGTTTTCGATGCTGTTCTTTTAATGTGGAGAGTTAAACATGCCTGAGTCATTATTGAAAAGGTGTCATGGTAAAGAGAGATTGAGATGGTCATGCTTCAGTTTTAGAAATCGCTACTAGGTGTCATCCTTGCTTATGCAATGGCCATAGAAAGAATAATCGCTTATAATTATTATAAGCGATTAGTAGGGTAATAATTTTATCGTGCCGCGAATGACCGCGAATTTTTTTTAAAAAATAATTTCGCAAAGATTCCCCCTCCCCAAATGTTGAATGAATTCGCGAGATTAGAAGTCTTTCTTGATATATTTTAATTTTTATAACAATTGTTAGCTTTTTTTATTAATTAAATAATTTTTATGCTGCTTTAAAAATAGTTCATGGTAAGTGTTGTCACTCTGTAAATTATATTTTAAATTTCACACGCCCTCGCCTGCAGCAGATTCACAGAATGCTGCCATTCGGAAAAGCGTTAAGATCTTTAATTAAATAATGAAGAATCTGCATAAATGTATGTATGTTTCTCGCATTGTGATAAAATGCTACCTACTGAAAAGAGCCATCAAATTTTGAATAATTTAATTTTCCACCGAAGATGGGCATCTGGAAGCACTAATTTGGAATTTGTTTTATTACCGATTTCATATTTTGTAACACTTCAACAAATTTTTGATTAACAAACTCCACGATTTCAAGGCGAATCGCAAATTCTAAAGATATGCTCTTTTTAAATTATTTTGCGATATTGGTGTTGAATTGATATTTATGGTTTAAGTGCGTAGAACATATTTTATAAATAAAGGTAACACACAAAACGTTAAAAAAAAAAAAAAAAAAAACCACTTTGGGCGTAATATAAAATTTGAAAGCTTTGAGATTTTTTTTAATATTATTATTATTTTCCTTTCATTAAATTTTCGTAATGTTTTACTTTGTTTTTTTTATTATTTATTATTTATTATTATTTTTTTTTTTTTAGTGTGAGTATTTTAGTATGTTTCGTACTATTTATGTTAACTAATATTGTGATGATGATACACCGTATTTGAGAAGCTCACATATCAGCATGTGTTATATAAATATGGCTTCTGCAGGAAAGGAATTTATCTTCAGATTCTTTCAGCTATGTTTAATTTGTGTCGTGTCGATTTTAGAATTTCATAACTACTTAAAGATTATAAATAATTTTTTAAATGTTGGCAGTGCTTTCAGAAGTAAGTTATTTTATAATTAAAAAAATTGATATTATTTTCAGTAATTTAAATATGTTGATACATCTTTCAACAATAAACCCTTGCTCAAATAATAAACGCATAATTTTTTCCCCCTCTTCTAGAACATGTTCGAGAATTTTCCTGTGGGTACCAGTACTATCGCACTTTTTACCTGGATGCCAAAAGAGACGTTCTCTACGTCGGAGCCATGTAAGTACATGATACTTTTTTTGCCCCTCTCTGTCTCTCTCCCGACCACCACTCCTTCATCCATCGTTAATTAGTAACTCATTAGTAATTCACGTGACTCTCTCATCATTCCGGAAAGTTGTAATTGAATAACATTTACCCCCGTCTGCTATTGAAAGCTGGAATTCTGGGGAAATATTCTCTGCCCTACCGTCTCTAATCTTCCGAAGGGAGAAAAGTTCTGAGACTTTTAATTAAAACCATAAAGTGTCACTAGACGAGCTGTAATTTAATCGCGTGTTTAAACCGTGTTCATCAAAGCGGCTTGTTCCTTTGTTTCTTTTCCTCTGCGAATTCTTCATTAGAAAGGGGGATAGAGTTGGAACTTTTAGCAATGTTTATGAAGTGTTGATTAAAGAGTTTTGCATATTTTTACGGATGACTTTACGAGCGATTGTTCCTGTTGTGTACGTATCTCATTATTAATAGCATTCGGAAACCAGAAAAGTTAGATATACTGGTCGAGATCCGAAAAAGTGTGTTTGGAACGAATGGCAAAATTATATATCTGGAAATATTTAGACATGTTCACTTGCGGGCAAAGTACAATGTAATATTAAAATGACCAGATTTTTCCAAAGCCAGTGCGAAACAAGGCAAATTCGGTACTAGAACGTAAAAGGGAGGTTCTCTTTGAAGTAAATCGTAATTTCAAACAATTATTACTATTGAGTTTTTTTTAATTGTTCACATTGCAGTGTTAGCAATCGAATAGACCCCACGCTACCAGATCGTTTTTACATTTTGTAAAGATGGTCGCCTATATAAAATATGACTATCGACAACTTTAAACATTGTTGTTTATGTCTGGTATTTCTAAAAGTGGTCGCCATCAGTAGCTACCAAATGATTTCGGTCTGCTGTGAACGTGATTGCCGTAGAACAACCTCAAAACTCAAGTAAGCCAAGTACCCATCAGTGTACAGTATTGTTGGCCTCAAGGAGAAAATGCCATTTTCATTCTAAATAATGTATTTATAAAATGAGTAAATTCATGAACCTAACCATTTATTTTTAATAAAAGTGTAGAGACATCAGTTACTTAAGAGAAGAAGAAATGAAAAATGAGCAATGCCCTCGCCGGGACTCGAACCCTGGACCTCTCGATACACGTCGAGTGTGCTACCTTTACACCACGAAGGCGTGCATAAAAAATGGAGAAAATACCCTATATACTCCCCCTTTTAAAGGGCGACTTGGAATTAGGGAATACAGTCGTCAAATCTTGGTGGTGAAGAACGATCATCCACCATCTTTTTAATTCAGGCGCCACTGTAGAGTCATTGAATTATTTTTTAAGCAGGAGACATGAAAAATGAGCAATGTGCTCGGCGGGACTCGAACCTGAACCTCTCGATTGCGCGTCGACTCGACTCAGTTCGGGTGCCACTGTAGAGTCATTATTATTATTATTATTATTAATATTTTTTTTTTTTTTATGCGTGAGATTTAAAAAATTAGCAATGAACTCGCCGGGACTGTAATCTGGACCTCTCGAATACGCTTTGAAAATGTTGTCGTTATACTCGTACCACAACGGCATGCAGAAAAGAGGGGAAAATACCATATAGAAGAAACATAAGAAAGTCCAAGTAGTAGATGAATATCTATTTGTTTCTTTCTCGAGATCTTAAATTTTTTTATTCCTGCAATAAGTGTATGGATATCTGGAAGTATTACGATTTTCCGAAGGTCAGATGATTGTCTGTTAGTTTGGGTCGCTGGGATACTCTCTCTCAAAACTGGGGCGGAAGCTTAATAGTTAGCTAGGTTCAGCAGTACCTCAATCAACTGTGGTACTACAGAGGTGCTGCCTTAGCTTCTCTCTGTACATGTTAACCTGGATCTTGCTGGGGATTTGTTCCTTTTCGTAACTGAGAAAATTTATTCAGACTGATACGCATTAACCTACGTGATATGGAAATTATACGCAACGCAAATTTTTCGCTTTCTGAGAATCGTGCAAACAAGTATTTTTAAACCAGAGGGGATACTCATTTCAATGAAATTTTTCTTTAGAGCCGTTTCTGTCAACTCCATCTTTAAATTTGCAAGGAATTTGTCTCTTCCTTACCGTTAGTCTTCGTGGCGTAATTGGAAAATACATCCGGCTACCAATCGGGAAGTCCTGACAAGGGTATTGCTGATTTTTCATGTTTTCTGCTCCGAAACAAACGTAATGAGTCTGCAAATGGGCTCACACATTCTCAACGTCGTTTGAGAAAATGCTTTTGTAAAAAGACCGTTTCAAGAGCTCCTTCAATTCCAGCTACCGCTATCTGCCGCAGTTAGTTTGCATTATGCAAGTACTCAAACTTATATATATATATGCCTCGATTTTTGGTGGAATTCCAGTTTTTATTAATCTTTATATGAATAAAGAAGAATGTCTGTTTGGTTGTTCGCCGTTAATTCAGTCAGTACTATAGCTATCGTCACCAAGCTTTCTGCAATTCTTTCCTGGGTACTGGGAAAGGTCGACCTTTACTCCCCACCCCCCCAAGAAATTCAAGCTTTCGCTTGCTACAGTCAGTCTATGGAACTGACCAATAGGATTGCATCTGAGCAAAACACACAAATAATCGGTATCGAAGGTGGCCGAAGAGGTCAGTCACTTAAAGTTGCTGGTAATCATCTGGGAAGTTCTTGCTTTTCACATGGTCAGTTGTACTTAGCATGTTCAAGGGTAGGAACTGGAAAGAATTTGTACATTTTCGCTTCTGGTGCTAAAACTCGAAATATTGTATATGTCACGGCTTTACAATAAAAATGCATTTAAGTGAATTGTCTTCTTTTAATAAAAATAACTCGTAACAGAAGAAAACACCTTCATCCGATTTTGTTGCATCAAAGATGAATAATTAATTAGACGAGTAAACCTAGGGCCGGAGAAAAATGAGTCAAGGACTAAATGCGGTCCGCGAGTTTGACATGGCTGCCTTGCAGAATATAACTGTCAATGATGTTCAATCCATTGTTTATTTAGAGTCTCACTCGGTTGAGTAGCATTCACTAAGTCAAGACTCTGTGTATAAAATAAAGCGAATTATCGCTATATCTAGATAAACAACAAAAATGTGAGAAGGGTGTAAAAAAACTTTTATTAAGAACTCAGTATAGTTGAATAGAAAGCATCTGTTATGCCCACAAAATAGCCAGCATTTATGGTGTATTTCAAAGATAAGGAATTTCAAATTAAGTAAATCTAAGTCGTAAATTAGCCAAAGGCTGCACAGAAATGATTAGCGCGCAGTTGGCTCAAACCTATAACGGCGTGAAAACCACTGTTGGCAAAAATAAAGCAACACCGAAAACAGGCTTCTATCGTAGAATTTCAAATAGTAACGTGGCCATCAGCAGGGGGAACACGCTCTGTCTAAACGATCTGAAACCTCCCTTTAAATACTCTCTCTTTCTACCCCATTTGAATATGCGCAAACTAAAACGAGCATTCTAGCAGAAAAGCAGAAATGGGAAAATGACAGTATCAATACTGAACACAAAGTAACTGGTTAATTAAAATAAACAACACATTTTTTTACAGTGTTCTCGGTAACATTGCCACCTTTAAGAAGTGGGGGCTATGTGAGTTTCGTTATATTTGTTGTCGAAATAAGCGACATGTTGCTGCTACTGTTTGCATCAAGCAGAGTTCAGTTATTAATTCTTTTCAAAAGTAGTGTCCTTAAAGCGAAATTTGATTTATTTAGGGGAACGTGTGTCTGTATGTGCTCATACAACAAGATTTTATAAATGGAACATAAAGTAATGTAGACAGCTGTGAACTGATTTGCGTCGTCGTAGTGTTTAGAGCTTTAAAGCAGATGCGATATCAGCTCGGATATAATTTCTAAATCGCGAATCATTTGTTGCCTGCGGTTGCAGTATCGGAGTTGCACTAAATGCGATTCCATTCAGTTACAGTGACAGTTTCTAGATTGTTCGCTTCAAATCGAAACTCTTCACAGATTTGTTCTGCTGCCCCGAGGGCTACCAGGAAGTGCCGCATCAACTCTATCGGAATTGGATGTAAATTATTTATAAGACACTCTCGCATTCATCTATGACGTCCACTGGCTTATTCCGAATTTCATCTGCCAGTTACCGTTGTCGAAATATTGTTCTGAGTAACGGATTCTTCGTATAGTAAAGCGATGGAATTTTTGCCTTCAATAAATTCTTTTTAGAATGGATTGTTATACTGCTAAACATTCTACAATTCGGTAGACTTTTAGAAGGAGGGCTATCCGAATTAAATTTATCGGGGAATCGTGTTGTTGTTGGATTAAATTTGGGAGCGATCTGTATTTCCGTTTATTTTTTGTGAGAAAATTTTGTTTTTTAATAAAAAGAATTCTTCTTTTGGGAAATGCAACTGAGCAAAGCACTAGCATTAAATTTCGTTTTGGCACTGAAATTTCATATAAAAATTATTTGAAAAATTACAGTAAATCTTTGGGCAAAACATACGTGGAAGATGAACTACTTTCTGGTACAATGTCCACTTCAAAATGAAGGTAGAGTTGGCTTCCCCTCCAAATGTCTCGTGATGTTGTTCTCACATGAATTTCTACCAAGTGGACAAATTATCAACAGGTATTGTTATGGGGCTGTTTTGCGGCATTTGCATGAAACAGCTCGTAGAATTTTGGCGAGATAACTTATTTATTTTGCACACTATAATGCGTCTGCTTACTGTGCCCTTATTGTTAATGAATTTTTGACCCAAATTTGAAGAAACAGATCTCTGCGAGCTCCGTATTTCTGTGTCGTTAAAACAACAACTTCAAGGCCTATGCCATTTGCAATCGTAGCGCGTATCGTCATCACCACGCAACACTTATTTTTTCCACCTCATAAGAGGCTGGCCCACCAGCGACCGAGCACTGGACTGGTAGTTTGGTCCGGGGTTCGAATCCTGCTGAACGGGAAAGCTGCATGAGCGTTGTCGGGACTTTCTT